TATATATATTGGTTATTTTTTAGCAATGAACTACCGTGGTATCGGACAGATTGCCAATACGGAAATTGTGATCGGATCCACCAGCGGTACAATAGGCCAGGATGAGCAAGAATGCCTCCGAGATCATCACGTGACCATTTGGAACGCTGAATCTCAGGCTGGCACGTATTACAAGCGAATTTGTCTGCTGAATAGATCAGTGCCAAGCGCAAGTTCACCAACCGGTGCCGATTATGGTAAATATAACATTTTTGTAAAACTCCTCACATGTTGCTGTACAATTATAGTGATCTCGCCTTTATTTGTTAATGCGTGCTTAGAATGTAAACATCCTGTGATGACCTTATCATGCACAGTAAAGTTTGCTGACTTTGAATGTGTCTAATTTTAGACCCGAATTCAAGTTAATTCCATTCAGCAACGCCTATTACATACGGTACCACGAGTGAATAGCACTAGAAACAATACCTAATTAAATTAGTCTCACACAAAATGCATTAATGAACTTAAAGATATACCAAGGACTTTTAACTGTTACTAGGATAGGAAGCTGGCTGGTTTAAGCCGTCTAACTTGAATTAGCCTTATGTGCGGTATTGTTATGCAAATGAGCCAGATAAGCACAATCTGCACATGCTCAGAAAAACAAAACATTCCTTAGCCACACGATGGCCACTCTGCGTCGGCTAGGCGTACAGCTAGGCCTAGCCGAGAATTACGGTACGGTAAAACAAAACAAAAAGGGTACTAATTTCACTTGGCATGCAAATCAATCATACTTACACACTTAAAAGCAAACTAGTCTACCAATAAAATCACCTGCAAGTTAATATATAAGGCAAGTATGTCTACAGATTTGATTTTAAATTGATGTGATTAGGCTAGCCTAGACCCGGGCTAGACCATGTCTAACTGCTTATAAAAATGCAGGAAAAAAGACCCAAAACAAATTAGAATGATGTTATGAACTAACTAGTGCATTAAAATTATTCATATACTTACTACTTACCTATATAAAATCGGTAGACATCTTGATGACAAACAGCCTAAGTGAGTGGTGCGTAACAAACAAAAATAAGATAAGCTAGGCCTAGCTGCTGTACGCCTAGCCGAAACGCAGTGTGGCTAAGGAAAGTTTTGTTTTTCTGAGCATGTGCAGATTGTGCTTATCTGGCTCATTTGCATAACAATACCGCACATAAGGCTAAATCAAGTTAGACGGCTTAAACCAGCCAGCTTCCTATCCTGGTAATAGTTAAAAGTCCTTGGATATACAGTACGTCAATCTAAAACTTCACTAAATGAATTAAATAATTTATATATATTATTTACATCATTTTTTTTACTTTCAATTAAGTACGATTGAAAATTAGAAAGAAAAAACTACAAAACTTCTTGCCAAATAACGAATGTTTAAAAAAAAGTATATATAAATCTTTGCATACACTCTTAAATTTCTGACAGAAAATTTATGTATTTTGTAGCAGTATAAACGTCTCCAAATCATTCAAATATGATATATTTTTTTGATCTGTAACTTATTGAAAATTGATAACTTATGTGGTTCTTTTAAATGAGCAATTCCATTTTTTTATTGTAATTTTTAGGTTTTTTTCTCAATTTTTTTTTTTGGTGGTAGTATATCTTTTCTTACATTTGGTTAATCTTTTCTTAGGCATTAATATTTTAGTGCGTGGTTGTTGTTAATAGTGTTTGGGTGATATTCCAAATTAGGGGCAAAGTAAAATATGGTGAATTTTTTTAAGTGGCATGAACGACAGACAGGATTTTGGCCTACTTGATTCCCTTTAAATAAATTAAATAAAAAACGAAAAAAAAAAATTAAGTACATTCGAAATTAAATAAGCCAATTCGTGGTTGGAGTTGCGCATGCTAGTATCCAAGGTCAATCGAGGTTATGTTGTGCGTATGGTGTCTATAGGGAGCTTTCGATTGCACGACGACGGTAGGACGTAGAACGTAATGACGTTACTAAAAGTCATCTGCGCATGCGAAAACGTTAAGGTAACCTCGTTGAGTAGATTCTGGAACGCAATTTGGCCAAATCTACGTATGCAGAGAACGCAGGACGCCAGGTGGTAGGACGGTCACGCATTAGTGATTCCGTTCTAGCGTCGTGTCGTCGCACAAATCGAAAGCTCCTGTCAATTGACCTTGATACGAGCATGCGCGGTTGCAACTACGAATTGGCTTATTGGATTAATGGTGGAATATAGAAATAGCTGTAAAGATTTGTATCTAGGAAGCCAATATTTTTAATTATAAGAGCCCCATGTGCCTGATATATTTCCACCGGTGGCCTAGGGATTTTTATCTCACGATTGTTCATCCCATTGAGCCTAAACCCATAACATGATATCCTACTTTCCTGGCTGTAATACAGACCGAGTTCACAATTCCGAGTAAGTTTGGTTATTATCACCAGATGATGAAATTAACACGAGAATGTTAATTCAAGTCAAGTACAACAGGTAGTGAAATTTTGTTGTGGAAAAGTGTAATGCAAAATATATGAACAGGGGACGAAATCCTATTTTGCAAGTATAGTACGCTTATAGGGTTTCTAGACGCGCTATCCCGATTTTGGCTTCAAGAAGCCTTATTGTCAGGGGACAGTAGCAATGTGCTGTAGCGATTGTATGGAAACCAGGCTTAACCATTTAGTTTCTTTGAATGTAGGATTCGTGACCTTATGAGTTAACATGGAATTATCAATATTATCCCTTGTGGCCATAACCAATTTATATCTCTTCCTACGTTATGTTGTATCATGAAGTTCTAATGTCCATGGTTTGAAGTAGATAAAGTAGAGCATGGTGATGTTTGATGTGATAAAATGAAATGAGAAAAAAAAAAAGGAAAAAAAAACAATGAATTTCAATGAGTTTACAATATAATTAGCATAAGAACATTTTCTCATTATATATAATGATTTTCTTCTACCATGTGATATATGTGATATATGTGTTATATAACATATTATTACATTATATTATATTATTATGTTACTGTATGTTATGTTATATATGACATAAAATACCATCCCATATCGTATTGTGTCGAACTTCATCGTATCCTGTCATATTGTATCGTGTATCGTATAATGTTATTTTCATATATCATATCATATCAATTCACAAAATATTTAATATATCATATCTCATATCATATCACTATCTTGTTATGTTATGATATTTATGCTATGTTATGTTATGATATAATATGGTATGTTACATTATGTTTTGCTATGATATGTTATGTTTTGTTATGGTATGTTATGTTATTTTATGCTATGTTATGTTATGATTATTATGTTATTTTTGTGTGTTATGTTATTTGCATGTTATGTTAAGTTACGTTACGTTAGTTATGTTATGTCATTTTGTTTTATGTTGTTATGTTATGCTTTTGCTATGATATGTTATGTTTTGTTATGAAAGGCCCTATGTTACGATATGTTATTTTATTTTATGCTATATTATGTTATGATTATTATTTTATTTTTGTTATGACATGTTATGTTATGTAATTTTATTTTATTTTTTTTTATTTTATTTTATTTTATTTTATTTTATTTTATGTTATGTTAAGTTATGGCGTTTTTTCGTCAGGAGGAATAATAATACGAATGATGTCCGCCCTATTGCAGTACCCGCGCAAGCATTTAGGAACGTAGTAATAAGCATACAGTACGATAACACGTCAAGTAGGGCAAACATCCTTCGTATCACTAGACTATACAATTTAAGCATTAACATAACACATCATGATAGTAATTTATGCTGAATAAAAGGATTCCTGTTTGAATTGTAAAAGTACTCTATAGTTTAGATTAAATAAATTAAATAGGTCTATTTAAAATACTTTATATTTTAACAACATTAAAAACGTCCATTATACATTCTGACCGAATATGGTATGAAGGGTTTCTTGTATTTGTCTGTTCTACATGATCTATACAAAATATTTCCCTCAACGTGCATCTTTTAATAATAATAATTTAACGGATGATTTATATCTTTTTGAATATTTTTGGTCTTGGTGTTTGTAAAATTTGTGACATATACCTTTAACCGAGTAATTCATTCCAGATTTGTTTGAAATACGATGGATGATCGGTTTATCTTGCTCCCTACATTTCACATACCAAACAACCTAGCAGAAATTAATGACACTTTTAGCTACTGCTGAATAAAATGTTTAAAAAATACACCTAATTTATTTAATATTCTAAGAAAAAGCAAGCGCATAATTACTGCTCAGTCTAATTTAAATCATTGTCAATAGTTATCCCATTATTATTTATAATTGAAAATCAACTTCAATCGCAGTCAATTTGTTAAGCAGAAAACTTTAGCTCCACTATGTGTGAGCGACATTTTGTTGTATAAGAAAAAAGTGCCTGGTAGTTAGATCTGCGCATAATGCTGTAACGTCTCCGTGGTATAATGGTACGATACTCGGCTTGATAGCGATAGTTTGCCGGTTCGAATCCTACCAGAGATATTTGTTTTCTTACAACTGAATTAAAGAACTTTTCTTTGAAGGCTGCTTGATATTAGTATGACATAATGTTCCTATTCGAGCACTGTATTATTATTATTCTTCTTCTTCTTATTATTATTATTATTATTATTATTATTATTATTATGACTATTATTATCATTATTTATATATGTATATAATATATATATATATATATGTATATATATATATATATATGATATACATAAAACGTAATGAATATATTTTTTCAATGGCTGTGATCGAATGTAATAAAAAAAATTGAGTATTGAATCAACGCAGCATGAACAATGGCGTTATAACGCGAGTAAGTAACGAGGGCGTAAGTGTTTTAGACTCAAGTGAACATATTGTACAATATTGATAAATGAATAACTTATAAATTAATCAGCATGGATGTGCTATCAATTTAAAATGTGTATATGATGCAATGAAAACAACATGAGTAATTCGACTGTGACGCTATGACGGATATCGTACAGGAGGGAGTATTTTGTAGCTTTCGATTGCACGAAGGTCTAGAACGTAATGACGTTACACTGAGTTAACAACGCATGCAAGGACGCAGAGTTACCCTAAACTAAGTTGCGCAGAGAACGCAGGTCGATCATGGATGACTACCCGTTCTAGGGTCATGTCCTTGTGCAAATCGACATCTTCCTATTAAAGATTCAGTGACGAATAACGCTTC